CTGGCAAACTTGAAAGGGATATCTGAGTGAAGAGAATGTGGACTTTATTAAACATGATAATTATTTTAAAATAAAACATCTAAGAAAATTTTACAGAAGATAAGCAATCTTAATATTTTGAACATTATGATTTGGAATAGGCCAATATATTCAGTTTAATGCATTTTAAAATATAGTTTTCTATTTTACTATGTAATTACATGTTCTAATTATACAACTAATTCCTGTAAGCATACTTATATAATTAAATGATATAATTACATAGAGTAATTGCATAATTATTTTAATGACATAAGTGTAGTAACTACTCAATTGCAAAACATTAAATGCACAAGTAAAACAACCAGATTAATTGCTTTAATAAAATATCCTCCTAAAAGCCATATTATTTGTATTTTAACTATAGCATAGTCTAAACCACTAGGACATAAATATAAATTTTAAATATGTTTAGTTCTTCATATTTATCCACCTTTTAAAAATATACAGAACTATTCAAGCAAAATGTTATGTATTATTATTTTTAAGTATTTAAAAAGAATTACTTTCCTAAAGTTTATAAAACAGTCTAATCCATTATTTTCTAACACTCAGTTTTTAATAATTAATAGACAGAGGGAAAATGTTTATTATTGAGAGTAAATAATATTATCTATTTTTTGTTGTCTTTGGACAAACAATTTGCATGAAATAAGGCATTTATTGATATTTTTTACTGACGACAGGGCAAGTAGGAAATACACAGTGTATATTCAAAAGAAGACCAAACTTTTGTCTTAGATATTTAATTATGTAAAAAAACAGATGAATGTTTTTAGAATATTTTTGAGCTTGACAGTTTGTTTCTAGATTTTAAACTTTTGATTTGGATTGAAATATGTTATTATCAAATATTTGGCTCTTATTTTAATTTTGCTAACAAATTGTGTTTATTCTGATGGATACTTCCTTTGGTAGTTTCATATGAAAATAGAAGCTAGACCTACCTGTAGGCTTGCAATTACCACATACATAGTCAAGAATCCTAGTTCTTATTTTTCTAAATTTATTTAGTCTCATAAGTGTGTTCCTTTCTCTTACAGATGCCATATTTTCCTCCAGTGTTTGTTTAATTTTTAGGAAAAATGTTTGTCCTTTCACTTTACTGTGCATTTAAGACATTTGATAAAACATTTTACTTTGATTCTTAGCAAAGCATTGAGAATGCCTTTCATTCTGAGAAAAGAATTCCTTGGAGGAAACAGTAATTCTATCTTATAAGAAATGTTTCAGTAAAGAAAGAGAACAGCTCTAATATTCCTAAATTCAGTGTACACAAACAATTGTCCTCTGCCAGTGTTTTTCATTTTGAAGTTATAAGAAGTTATTACACTCATACTTTTTTCTGTTGTATTGAGAGCCTTGAGTTTCAATGAAAGGGTAGATGGGAACTCTAGTTTCAATTTCTGAAAGAATAGTTGCTTTTAGTCACCACTGTGTTGTAAAGTTTTTTAGCCCTAATGATTATTATAATTAAAATTATAATTAGTTTAAAGTATTTGAAATTTGAATTTTTGGGATGAAATTGGCAATATAAAATGAGTCATTTTAAAATGAACGATTCAGTGGCATTTAGTATCTTCATAATATTATGAAATTACTCCATATATTTAAAAAATATTTTTCTCACTCTCCTAAAACTGGAGTACTCATTAGGCAGTTACTCTTTTAAGCCTTTGGCAACCACAAATTTGCTTTTTGTTCCTAACAATTTTACAGATCATGTATATTTCATAGATGGTGTAAAACAGAATATAATGTGAATTTTTATGTCTGCCTTATTTTTTAGCTTAATATTTTTAATTTTTTCCCACATTGTACCATGTATCATTACATCATTCCTTTTTAAAGCTGCATAATATTCCATTGTTGGATGATTTGAAATACATTTTTTTCTTCTCCTTTGACTCTAGTGGACCCTCTAGTTATGATTGGTCTGGCCTATGAACAACATGGGTCACAACTCAGATTTTACTTTTATCTTACGACCAAAGTCCTGAGTTACAACCCATCAGCTGCTTGTGCTTCCAGATGGTCTCACTCACCGATTTACCACATAAAGGATGGAAGGAACATTTCAACATTTCGTGTGTGGAGTTAATTGAGAAATCCTGGGCCATTGTCTCTCAGGGAAATGGGATCTTCCTGTATATGGCAGAGAGACTTTGAAGGCTGTGTAGAGGAACCTGAGCTTTCAATCAACCAACTTGCCTTACAACCAGGCCTTATAAATGAATTGAATTCGTAGGTCAAGTATCTATTGTATTGTTAGCAATTGTGTGATTTCATGTTTTAAATAATATGCATTATTTTGTGTATTTTAGATTTTTTCATTTTTTATAGTACACAGTGTGTGGTTAGCAAAATCGGATGAACACTGTAGGAAAAAAATCATTAAATCTCTATATTGAAGCATCTGTAATACTCCATTCTAACAGTTGCTGTAGAGACATGAGTAACTGCACGGAGGACATTTTCCAGGATAGATGACATGTTAGGCAACAAAAAAGTCCTAAATTTAGGGTGGAAATTATATCGAGTATCTTCTTTGATCATGGTGGTATAAATCTAGAAATCAGCATCAGGAGCAACTTTGGAAACTTCACAAGGAAATGGAAATTAGTCAGTATACATTTGATTTTTTGATTTTGTGGTTATCAGTATACATTTGAATGACCAGTGTGTCAACAAATAAGTTTAAAAGGAAATAAGAACTTCTTGAGATAAATGAAATTTATCACACAACACCCCAAGCCCTATCATTTCTAAGAGAAAAGTTTATAGCAACAAACATGGCACCCAAAAAGAAGAAATATCTCAAATAAATAATGTGAAATTGCAGCTTAAGGAAATTAGAAAAATAAGAGCATATTATATCCAAAATTAGTAAAAGGAAAAATAATCAGGCTAGAAATAAACAAAATAGAGACTATTTTTTAAATAAATGAAACAAAGGTTTTTGACATTTCCTAAACTGTGAAGTTTAGATGATCTGCCTGAATTTAAAATTCAAATTTGGGTTGCTGACTTCTAATTCAAAACACAGCCCCTAGTCTCACCTGTGCATCCTCATACCAAATCATTTCCATTTCTGAGCATGGAAAATCCTGAAGAGTTCAGGCTTCCTCTTCTCATCAAATCACCCTTCTCAACCATAAATTGCAGACAAAATAATGAACAAGTAAGGTAAAAAAATGTCATTACAGAGATAGATAAGGATGAGCACATAGCCCCACTCACTACACTAATGACACAGCTGGAATCAGGTAGAAACTACCTGGGTTTCCAGTATATCATCTGAAATTATTGAAATTATTGTGCCAATTTTCACAATGAAAGCCACACAGAAATTATTCTAGTTGATATTTTTCTTCCATGCCATAAAATTTTTTAGTATTGAGGAAAAGGACCAACGAAATCTGCTAACTTTCATCTTAACAATGAATTTTAGACCAAAAACTGTTATATCAATGAGTCATTTAATAACTGCTCATGATACAACAGAGCATTTTAAGTAATCTTGAAATAAGTACTTGGTTTACATGTAACTAGGCATGAACTGTAAACTAATCAAACCATCTCAGTGGAGATACATCATCATGTGTTAAAAATACGTAGATAAACCATTCTTAACTGGAATACTTGAGCTGGATTTTAAAAAGAAGGATAAGGATTACATTCACATTTTGAATTGCTTTGTCAGATCTACAGTATAATAGATTTAAGAGGCAAAATTTAAAATCATTTCTTGATAAATCACTATCAAATCAGGTCCAGTGCTTTTTTTTTTGGCAATAAAGTTTTATTGGAACATTCCTTTGAACATGGTCAGGGATTGCTTTTATATTATGAAGACATCATGAATAGTTGTGACAAACATTGTTTGACCTGTAAAGGCTAAAATAATTATTATTTGGTCATCTAAAAAAAAAAAAACAAGTTTGGGACAGGGATTTAGCTCAGTGGTTCCGCAGCTTACCTCACAAGTACAAGGATCAGAGTTCAATCCCCGGTACAAAAACAAACAAACAAACAAAAACAATCAACAGCAAAAAAACCCAAATTTGCCAACCACTACTTTTTATGGATTCACTCAATTCTGTGATGTATACCTGTGTTCCTTGATAGTTTATTAATCTCCCACTGCTTTCTAATGCACAAAATGCTAATGTTTACAAAGTTTCAGGTATATATGCAGTATGATAAAAAGTATGGCGAAAGTCAAAAATTTTTTAAATTTATTACAATAAAAGTTACATTGCCATTAATTTCTTCAAAATACTTCTCTTCTCTTAGAACACACTTTGCCACTTTTCTGAAGCAGTTCTGGAAATCATCTTTCCTGGATGTTTTTAGTTGCACTGTCCTGGCTGCCTCAATGTCTTGATTTGAGTAAAAACATGTACCTTTCATGCTCATTTTGACTCTGAGGAACCAAAAGTTACACATTGCCAGATCTGGTGAATGAGGTGAATAATGATACACTGTAATGTTGTTATTTAACAAAAATTTGGTGGCAAGAATGATAGGATAAGTGTGTTCATAGCAAGCGGAAGTATTTTGAAGAGTCAATGTGCCTTTACTGTAATAAAAAGTTTTAAAAATTTAAAGACCATATGCTTTGTTAGTACCTCTTCTGTGGCACTCAGACTTAAGGAAGTATTTTACTTACATATTCTCTATGGCTATTTTCTGTTTATTTGGCAATATTCAGATTTTACCTTTTAAAATGACTAAATGGTATGTAATGTGGTATTTATACAGTTAACCCATTTATATTATTTTTAGAAATTATCATATAACAGGTGTTGAGTTAGAGCCCGAGTATAAAACTAGGAAAAAGAAAATTGTAGCCAGTGTCTCAGTGGAACTTCTAGCCTAATAGAGCTTAAGGATCGTTTAAATAAATGATAAGGTTGAGAACAGATAGACACAAATAGGAACATCTCATCCTTGTGGCCTTGCATCATTTTGCTAGGGCTGCTCCAGCACTGTACCAAATACAGAGTGGTTGAAACAACAGAAACATTTTCTAATATTTCTGTAGGCTGGAAATCTAAGATAAAAGCGCTGGCAGGGCTCTTTCCTTCTGAGGGCTGTGAAGGAAGATCTTCTCAGGCCTTTCTCCTCGGAATATAGATGAGCATCTTCTCCTTGAGTCTTTACATCATCTTTATTCTGTATATATCTAGGTCCAAATTTGTAATTATTATTTTTATAAGTAACTAATAAATAAGTTACTAGTAAACTTTTATAAGTTTGCTAGTTGTACTGAGATTCTAATAATCTCAACATCAATAATATGAGTTCTCCATATTTGTTTTCTTATTTTCAGAAGTGTTTTAACATTTCTGGATTTTGGAACTTTCAGTGTAAATTTTAAAATCAACATATTGGTTTCTACAAAAAAATTCCTATTAATACTCTGATTTTGAATGCATTAAATGTATAGATCAATTAAAGAATTGATATCTTAAGAATATCACATCTTCCAATGCATAAACACAATGTGTACCTCCATTTTAGGGATCTTTTAAATATTGTTCTATGTACATTATGTCAGGTTTATTTGGCACAAATTTAAAATGTTCCAATCTGGTAATTTCAATTTGTAATTTTTCATTATTAACGTATAAAAATACAATTTTGTATTTTGATCTTGTATTCCTCAACCTTGTTTAACACCTTTATTGGTTTCAGTAATGTTTTTGTGAATATTCTAGTATTTTCCACTTAATCAGATGTCTACAAATAGAGACAATGTTGCCCTTCCTTCCCAATTTGCATAACTGTTATTTATATTTCTTGCCCTATTGCACACTGTGTGATAGTGAACAGTAGTGGTAAAATTATGCATTCTTTCCTTGCTTCTAAATGTTGGAGGAAGTCACCCAGTCTTTTACCAGTAAATATTATATCAGCTCTAATTTTTATAGATGACCTTTATTGTATTAAACACAGATTCCTTTCTATTCATGGGAGAAATATTGCATGAATAGATATGGGTTTTTAAAAAGATACTGAAGTGATCATTTTTCTTAATTTAAACAACAGAAATTTATTTCTAACATTTCTGTAGGCTGGAAATCTAAGATAAAAGTACTGGCAGGGCTCTTTCCTCTGAGGGCTGTGAAGGAAGATCTGCTCAAGCCTTTCTCCTTGGAGTGTTGATACAGTGAGCTGCATTTTCTAATTTTATTTTTTTAATTTTTTTCAGCTTTAATTGAGTTTATTGGTACATTTTAGGGATACAGTGCAGTTACATTCATTGTTGGGATCTTGTACCTCTACATGACAAGTCTTGATTCTCATTTTTCCCCTTACCTCTGTGCATAAGATTCTAATAAGATTACTGACATTTAGAAATGGGAAGAAAGGAGCTAAACGTGTAGGGAAGGTGGGATGGGTAGGGTAAGAGTAAAAAGGGAAAAGAAAAAAATGTGAGAGAATGAAAAGATGAAAATAAAGTGTTTGGGAGGGCATTTTCTAATTTTAATGTTGAACTCATTTGATGTACATTCATTTATATATTTTTTCAGATTTGATTTGCTACATTTTGTTGAGGTTTTTTGTCAATTTTAGTGAGGGATATAGTCTGCAATTTTCTTTTTTTTATGAGTTTTGGAATTAAGGTAGTGTTTTCTAGTTTCATAAAATAAATTGCTAAGTGAAGTCTATCCAGGTCAGTGGTCATGAATAGTTGAAAAAAATGTGACTCTAGTATTGATGGACGGTCTATTATATAAATATCACATAGATTAATTTGTTTTCTATATCCTCATTGTTTTTATATCCATTTGTTTTATAAACTTCTAAGAGGTTGCTATTAAACTTTTCATTATTATTGTGGGTTAGCCTATCTTTCTTTTTAGTTATATCAGACTTTGCCTTATACTCTTCTGTAAATGGAAATCGAAGCCACGTATTGACATTCTAGACCTATTTAATGAAGGGATATAAAAAGCCTGCCTGTGTTTATGAAGTGTTTTCAAATAAAAATTCAATGAAAGCAACTACTCGATGGCATGCCTTCCCTTGATGGGTATTGACATGTTTCTGTGTGCTAGGTGAAACTTAAAATTGCTTGCCAATTGACACACAATATAAATTTTTAAAAACTGCATCTTCAGTAAATATGAACATATAATGACGATGGGTTTAGTAATTCAGGTTTTGTGCTCTTCTGCTGTGCCCTCAATTTCTGTCCATTTTTGCTTCCTAACCCCCATAACACGAGACTGATAGTTTTCATATCAGCTTTTGTCTGTCTTTTATTCCTTTTGTAGTTAACTCAATTGTACTATTTTTAACAGCAAAGAATTGCACCATCTGACCACTAAAACCCTAGTTAATTTAAAAACCTTATAATTAACCCAAAGGCAGATGCAATTGCTAATGTTTTTATGAATGAAAGTTTGCACTTGCTTATGTTTTGAACGGTTAAATTGTTACTTAGTGGGCTTTTTAACAATATTGCATACATTATAAAATGTCAGATTACTGAATTTCTTTAGTTTACTATCTGTTATTAAGGTCATTATCACCTTACATATTTATTGTCAAGTCTTTCCCCTACAATGAGTCTTTGTCATATTTTTGTTTGATTTGTGGTATGGGGGATTACACATATTTTAGCTTGTTTTCTCCCTCTCCCCCCTTCTTTCTTTCTTTCTTTCTTTCTTTCTTTCTTTCTTTCTTTCTTTCTTTCTTTCTTTCTTTCTTTCTTTCTTTCTTCCTTCTTCCTT